GTAGTAGTAGTAGTAGTAGTAGTAGTAGTCGTAGTAGTAGTAGTAGTAGTAGTAGTAGTAGTAGTAGTAGTAGTAGTAGTCGTAGTCGTAGTCGTAGAGGAGGAGGACGGGGACGAGGAGGATGAGAATACTGAGCAGGAGGAGTAGGAGGAGGCGCAGGAAGAGGAGGAGGTGGAGGAGGAGGAGAAGGAGGAGGATGAGGAGGATGAGGAGGATGAGGAGGAGGAAGTGGAGGAGGAGGAGATGAGGAGGAGATGAGGATGAGGAGAGGGGGAGGATGAGAAGGAAGAGCAGGAGGAGGAGGAAGAGGAGGAGGAGGATGAGGAAGAGGAGGAGGAGGAGGTGGAGGAGGAGGAGGGTGGAGGAGGAGGGGAGGGAGGAGGAAGCGGAACAAGAGGAGGAGGAGGAAGAGGACGAGGAGGATGCCCAGGAGGAAGACGATGAGGAGGAGGCGGCGGAGGAGGACACATGATAAGATGAATATCCAGATTCATAGAGTAATACGACGAATACTATTCTTACTAGTAATACTAAGACTAAGCATGCTAATTCTGCTGGCGCTACATCTAATACGACGCATACTACGAAGACTGCCACCATTATTGCTAGTAATAGGGTGAAATCTTGAAGTGATATCATTAATCATAGCCAGCAGGCGGCGAATCATATTACTACGAAGACGAAGGCGACGAAACATACAAGTACGAATAAGACGGCTAAGACGTCTGCTAAACAGAAGCATACAACCGTGACTACTACTACTACTACTACTACTACTACTACTACTACTACTGCTGCTACTGCTGCTGCTGCTACTACTACTACTACTACTACTACTACTAACACCAGTAATAATACTCATTCGGCGACGACGAATCATACTACTAATTCTGTGCATACGGGTGATTTTATCATTATTATTATTATGCGTAATAAAAGGATGATGCCACTAATAACAATATTCATAGGAATAGTCATAGCAAGAATACTGAGGTAATGCTACGACTGATAATCATATTACTAGTATTGTTATAGCACGAGTAGTAGTACTAATCACACTACTAACACTGATACTATTAGTATTGCGAAGAATGTGGATCATACGAGTAATGATAATACTACTGCTAACACTACTAATACACAGAAGAGGAGCCGGGGGAGAAGGATAAGGAGGAGGAGGAGGAAGAGGAGGAGGAGGAGGAGGAGGAGGAGGAGGAGGGAGGAGGAGGGGGAGGGAGGAGGAAGACGGAGGAGGATGAGGAGGAGGAGCAGGAGTATGAGGAGGAGGAGGAGGAGGAGGAAGACGAGGAGGAGGAGGAGGCGGAAGAGGAGGAGGCGGAGAAGGAGGAGGAGGGGGAGGAAGAGGAGACGGAGGAGGATGACATGGAGGAGAAGGACGACGACGGGGAGGAGCACGGCGAGGCATGGGCGTTGTCCAGCTGAGTCTGCAGTCCTCCCCGCCTCCCCGCGCTGCAACCCGTCGTCCTCCCTCGTCCCGTCTGCCTCTCGGCGGCGAGCCGGGGGGGGACGTGGGACGGAGATGCCTTCTCAGAAGGCTCGGAAGGCTCAGCAGGGCCTCCTTGGCGCCTCTTGGGGCCCTCTCGGGACACTCTTGGGAGGCTTGGGGGCAATCGTGGGGAAATCTTGGAGGAGTTCGATCAGAGAAGGGCTCTCTTGGGGCAGTCTCAGCGCTTTTTGGCTCTCTTGGGGCAGCCTTGGGACCCTCTTGCCGGTGGCGAGCCCGGGGGAAGTGAGACGGGGCGGGCCTTTTTAGAAGGCTCGGAAGTTCCCCAGCCTTCTGAAACATTTCCTGAGCCTTCCCCGAACATACAGGAAACTGTTCAGAAGGCGCGGTGGCTTCTGAGAAGTCCCGCTGCCTTCTGAGAATGCATTCTCCTTCTCACTTCCCCGCCTCGCTCGCCACCGAGTCTCATTTCACCTCGTCCAGGCCGTCGCCTCCCGCCAGTTCGCCCCCCTCGCCCCTGTCCTCTGCTCTTCCCTTCCTCTATCTCCCCCCATCTGTTTCCCGCCCCCCCTCTCTGCCGAGTTTCTGTTTCCCGATCGCGCGCGTCTGCCGCAGGACTTCCCCCAAGGCCGCCGCGCGCTCTTTCCCGCCATCCTTGGCCGTTGGCCATCTTCCGTGCTGCTCTCCTTCGATCTCTGCGGCCCTCTCCAACCTATTGGTCCTCTACCCTTCTTTGACCATTCGGACTGCATCTTGCCTTTGTTTGGCCGTGGTGACGTTTCTCATTCGACCGCGTTATGAACAGATGTGCTCGCCTGTGTGTCTGGAGGGATGTAGCAGTTCCTCCGAACTCAACAGCTATAGAGGATCCTTCGGAGGAGAAAGAGGAGGTGGAGGAGGTGGGAAGGAGGAAGCAGGGAGGGAGGAGGAGGAAGGAGGGGGAGTATGAGTAAGAGGAGGAGGATGAGGAGGATGAGGAGGAAAAAGAGAAGGATGAGGATGAGGATGATGATGAGGAGGAGGAGATGAGGAGGAGGAGAAGGAGGAGGAGGAGCAGGAGGAGGAGGAGGAGGAGGAGGAGGGGGAGGAGGAGGAGGGTGAGGGTGAGGGGGAGGAGGATGGAGCCTCCTTACTTGGTTATCATGCCATCCGAGTACCTGTGATATTCCTCTCTGAATTGGAATCGCCCTCGCCATGTACGATCTGAGTCAGGCAGGCGCGATCCTACAAGCCGCGTAGCATAAGTCGAGCATGTCCACGCCCTCTTCATGGCGCAGCTGCTGGAGGCGGTCCAAGTATCCTCATCGCATTGCAGCGCTTCGAACGGGTCAGCGATTCCATAATAAGACGCTGACATAATGCCAATATTGCCCAAACGAACCCTAGGGAAAGATAGAGATGGGCATGGCCTAAGATGCCGCTTAGTTGCCAGACCACTCGGTTGACGGAGTCGGTAGCGATGCCCGCGTCACCCATCTCCCTCCTCCCTCCTCCCTCCTTGCTCCTCGCTCCTCCTCCCTCCTCCCTCACATCTCCCTCCTCCCTCCTCCCCCCCTGCTCTCTCCCTCCCTCCTCCCTGCTCTTGGTTGCAGCTCTCGTCGCCGCGGCTGGTCCCGCCTGCTTGGGCCGGGCTCTCCTGCCATGTCCCCTCGTGGCTGTGCGGGGTTTGCTGCTGCCCCGCCCTCCCTTCGTTTGCACACAAGTTCGATCACTAGAAGAGCAGCCGTGCAGCGTTCGCGCCGGAGACCGCCAGAGACCGCCTCGAGGCCGCCGAGGACCGCCGAAGGCAGACCAGCACGCGACCTTCTCCTCCTCCCCCCCATTGCCCTCCCCTCTCTTCCTTCTGGTCGCCTCCCCCGTACAGCTCGGACAGGTCTCGTGTAGGAGCAGCGCCCCCTCTGGCGCAGTGCCTCCAGCGCGCAGCACAGCGCAAGCCCAGCAGGGTCCCGCCGCCCCCCCCTCTCCCGCGCCCTCCTCCGCCCCTTGCCCTCGCCCTCGCCCTCGCCTCCCCTTTCCCCCCTCCCGCCTTCTCCCCCTCGTCGCCTCTCCTCCGTCCTCGCCGCCCTCTCAGCCTCCCGACCCCACCCCTCCCACGGCGCGAATGGGGGGGCGGGGTGGGTGGGCGGTGCGCGGGCGCGCGGCGCGCGAGTCGGGGCCGAGGCCCCCGCCCCCCCCCGCGGGTGGCTTCGGTGTGGTGCCGTGGGCCCTTCTCTCCCCGAAGAGGCGGCAGAGACGAGGCAGGTAGCAAACAAATGGGGGCCTTGGATGGCCTCGTATTTCCGTCCCGCGAGCCCGCCTCGAGGGGGGGACCGAAATTTGGGCGGAAGTCAGAGGAGCAAGCTTCCATGGCTCCCCATAGTACCAGGGCCTTACGGCCGGCGCCGCCGACCCTAGAGGCCTCGACCCTCGACGCGCCCTGGGAAGTTGGTATTCTGAAACTGGGACCACCCCCCGGGACCCCCCGGGGGACCTCCCCCCCGGGCCCCCCCCTCCCTCCGCGGGAAAGGCGTCAAAGGGAAGGGGCTTCCCTTGACTCAATGACAACGTTGCTTAATTTCACTGTGGATTGGCTGGTGCATTTCGGTTTGGCTGGCGTGCTTGAGGACGAGGGCCCAAGGAAAGGATGGTAGCGGCGACGGACTCAGGGGAAGGAGGGGACGTGATGGCGGCGGCGACGCGATGGCGGCAGCGACGGCGATGGCGACGGAACAGCCCCTGTCACACGCCGACAGGGTCGGCGGATTTCCCATTGGTTTTGGAGGGTTTTTGGTCTTCTCGCCTTTTCGGCTTTCCGACGCTCCAAGGCGGCCCAGGTGGCCTCCAAGACCGCCCGAAGACGGCCTTAGAGGTTCCCAAGAGGGCCTTATGACGGCCCAAGAGGTCCCCAAGACAGCTCAGAAGCGCCCAAGAGGGCCCAAGAACACCCCAAGACGGCTCCAAGAGGGGACCAAGAGGGGGACCACGAACCGAAACTTCGAACTTTCCGGCCCGAGGAGGAGGAGGAGGAGGAGGAGGAGGAGGAGGGAGCAGGAGGAGGAGGAGGAGGAGGAGGGGAGGAGGAGGAGGAGGAGGAGGAGGAGGAGGAGGAGGAGGAGGAGGAGGAGCAGGAGGCACATTTTTTGAGTCCGCGGGCGAGAGGTGGTGCAAGACGGTCATGCGCCAGTCAACGCGAGCGGTGGGGCGCACCGGAGGCGAGCCGAGGCACGAAGGCGAAACAGAAAAGAGAGCGCGAGAAGAGGGAGGAGGCCGTTCAGACACTGTGGGCCGGCGCGGGGATGCCGAGAAGAGCACGCGAGCTGCGTCCACACAGGCGGCATATCCGCCAGTCGTGGAAAGTATTCCGAATTTCTCAATAAGCGTCGGGGGGAGTCACCCCCGCCGACGGCCCCACATCGACCCCCGTCGCGGGCAGCCACTGCGCGCCGAAGGCGCTCCGACCCCCGTCGCGGCGCAACGACGAGGCGGAGTTGACCCCCGTCGGGGGGGTACCTCCCCACGCTTATTAAGACACCCAGAGTAGGTATTTCTTTGGGGCTTACGACGTAGCGGGGTCAGCACTAACTGGAGTCAGCCAATCCACTCTAGGATCCTCTGGCTGACCTGGGTTTGAGAGCCGCTATGGAGCCGACCCAGCTGCCCCGCCCTCCACTGACCCGGTTTCGGAAGCTTCTTCTTGGCACCCTTGTTTCACGACGTGGCCCTGACTTTCCCGGTTTTGCTCTGACCCAGGTTAGTGTGTCCCCGATTTCTAGATTCCCAGATCCCACTCTTTTTCAAGCGCCTTCCTTCTTCAAGCATCGATGTTTATTTTTCGGTCAGTCTTTGGGCGGGCCCGAGCCCAGTTTAGTGGAAAACGCGGCATATGCATACTCCGGTTGTCATGATACAGGAGGGGGGACCACAAATCTCCCTGGCGAGCAATTGCAGGGACCCCCCCAGACCAGACACGAAAGGCGGCTTTTTGCCCAGACCCCCCGGAACCCTCAAAGACAGCTCGAATCAGACACCCTCCCAAATCAGCCCCCCCACCTTTCTTACGGAATTCGGAGTTAGCTTTCGGAATTCCGCGCGGCTTTCTTGGAGCGGCGCTGAGCCTCCCTGGCAGCGTCCCCGGCGCCGCCCCTGGCGCGCGGATCCAAGAGATCCGCGCGGACCTCGTGTTTACGTTTTTTCCCAACTATCCTGTGGTGGTGGGTCCTCTTTTTGCAGAGACAGCACCCCGCGTTCTCCTCCCGCCTCCTCCCTCCTCTCATCCGTGCCCCTGCCCTCCGCATGTTTATCATGTCGGCACACCCCTCACACGTTTCGTGGCCCCTTTTGGAGCTCCACCGAAGGCTCCAGTGGGAGGGTTCGCATGGCACCACCGCGCCCAATTCGGCGCACCCCTCACACGTTTCGTGGCTAATCATAGTTCCTCCATTCAGGGTCCATGTCGATCCGATCGGGTCGATTCGAAATCGACGCCGCCCGGCTTGATCCGATTCGATTTCGATTTCGCTTCCGATATGCATGTAGTTGCATCTATATAATATTTACGCATGCATGCACATTTGTGTATGTATGTATGTATGTATGTATGTATGCATGCATGTATGTATGTATGTATGTATGTATGTATGTATGTATGTATGTACGTACGTACGTACGTACGTATGTACGTATGTATGTATGTATGTATGTATGTATGTATGTATGTATGTATGTATGTATGTGTGCATGTATGTCTGTCTGTCTGTCTGTCTGTCTGTCTGTCTGTCTGTCTGTCTGTCTGTATGTATGCATGCATGTATGTATGTATGTTTGCATGCATGCATACATGCATGCATGTATGTATGTATGTACGTATGTTTGTATGTAGGTAGGTATATCGGTATGCATATATCTATATATGTAAATATGTTTGTATGTATGCATGTACGTATGCATGTATGCATGCATGCATGCATGCATGTATGTATGCATGTATGCATGTATGCATGTATGCATGTTTGTATGTATGTATGTATGCATGCATGTATGCATGCATGTATGCATGCATGTATGCATGCATGTATGCATGCATGCATGTATGCATATATATACATACATATATGCATGTCTGTCTGTCTGTCTGTCTGTATGTACGTACGTACGTACGTACGTACGTATGATGTAGTTATGTATGTATGTACTGTAATGTATATATGTCTGTCTGTATGCATGCATACATGCATGCATGCAGGCAGGTAGGTAGGTAGGTAGGCCTGCGTGTCTGCCTGTCTGTCTGCCTGTCTGTCTGTCTGTCTGTCTGTGTGTATGTCTGTCTGTCTGTCTGTCTGTCTGTCTGTCTGTCTGTCTGTCTGTCTGTCTGTCTGTATGTATGTATTTATGTATGTATGTATGTATGTATGTATGTATGTATGTATGTATGTATGTATGTATACATGTTATATATATACACACGTCGCCACGATCCGACCTGCTTTCGTCTCCGTGCCGATGCGTACCCCCGTCCCGATTTTGATCTGATATCCCCGCTGGGGTTCGCCTGGCTGTAGGCATAGTGCTGTCATAGTGCAGTAGATCCGTAAAGCATGCAGCAGTAATTCACACAGCACGCCGTAACATCTGTGTAATGCTGCCTGCCCG